GTAATGAAAATGTTACTTCTTCTGAAACGACACCGTCTTGTTCAGCTTCGTCTTCTAGGTCATCTTCTTATGGTAGAAACTCAAAGAAATGGATTTTCTTGAAAGATTTGCTTCATCGAAGCAAAAGCGAAGGAAGAGGAAACGGGAAAGAGAAGTTCTGGTCGAATATTTCTTTCTCTCCTTCAAATTTCAGAGACAAGAAACTCAAATCTCAGTCTCTTGCTGTCTCAAAGGAAGAAAAACCAGTTCTTGAAACAGAGGTCAAGAAACAGAAACCGAAACAACAACCGCCGGTGAAGAAAACTCCGATCATCGCCGGAAAACCGACGAACGGAATAGCGAAACGGCGAGGAGGATTGCAACCATCGGCTCATGAGGTACATTACACAACGAACAGAGCTCAAGCAGAGGAGATGAAGAAGAGGACATATTTGCCTTATAGACATGGACTCTTTGGTTGTTTAGGGTTTAGTTCCAAGGGTTGTAGTGCCTTAAACGGTTTAGCACGAAGCTTAAACCCGGTTTCATCCGGTTAAGTCTTTAGATTAAGCAAATGGTTTTATGTATAGGTTATGAATAGTATATGTAAGAAACTCATTGCATCTCTGTTTTTAGATTTGATGATTACTATGATTCTCTATAGTTCTTGGCAACGGTTTTAGGATTTGAATATTTTTGTTTTTACAGTAATGTTGTAATATTTTTCTTGTGACAATGAAGTTAAGGTAATATAAACAATAATGGTGGTGGGGTTTTAGTTTGTTGAGAGAGAGTGCAATAATTTTTTGTAAGTACTCTGTGAGATCTGAAGAAGAGAAAAAAAAAAGGTTGGGGCCATGAGTGAGTTGTTTTTGGAATAATGTGTATAGTAGAGTTAAGAGAGAGCATCTTCATGACCCATTTGTGGTTTGTCTTATTAACATTTGGTGATTGAAACTGCATCTTACAAGTCTTATCTAATTGGCCTTTTGCTAAAATAATATATGCTTTTGTAGTTAATATATCGTTTCATGCTTTGTTTGTAGAGTTATTGTTTAGGGTTATCTTTAGACTTGCATCTTTTTATATGCAGAAGTAGAGAACACTAGTTAAATTATAATTAGAAGTGTTCTACGTTGG